GCCCCAAGGTTTTGGTTGGTGGAGGAGGGGCACCTCAAGGGCCCTAGTGCGTACAGTGCCAGCCATTGTCTCTCTCCCAAGTGGCTGGACTCAATAAATTCACTCATCTACCACTAGGCTTGGACTATCCAGAAGAAAATCCATCTAGGGAAGATAACGTAATTGTCCCCTTTCCCCATGTTGTTCTCTCTTTCTCTTGTTTCTCTTTGGCCTTGTGGTCATTTTTCCAGCTTTTCCTCCCGGCCTCCATCTCCTATTTAGAGAGTTATTTGTAGCCCCAGGTTGATAAATCTTTTGATAGCGAGGGTAGATAGGTAGAGGTAGGTAGGTAGGTAGGTAGGTAGGTAGGTAGGTAAAATTGATTTGTAAAACTACCATGTCACTCCTATATTGTTCTTTTCTAAGTTTTCTCTGTCTTAGTAGCAAATGAACTTAATAATAATAAACATTTTCTACTTACCTATCGTGTGCCAGGGACTAATTTCAAATCATTTTCCATGTAATATTTCCTTAAACTTTTTGTTACCTTTATGAGATAGGTATACCTTTCCATCCTCATTGTGTGACTGATGAAATCTAGGTACAGAGCTAAGTTTAACCTGCCTAAGGTCACACATCTGAGCCAGGCTGTGTTCCTCTTCTACATTGTTTATTCTGTCAGCAGTATATGGTGCTGAATATTTCAACCCATTTACTAGAGAAAAGTGGCTTTATTATTTGACTATTTGGACAGTAGTCTTGAATCTTGGTACTGAAAATATGATGATTGCATAGTAACCACCTAAAGATTCTGGTTCAGTGGATTTGGAGTGGAGGCAAGTTTTGTATTTTTAACAAGCTCCCATGTGATGCAGATACTGTTTTCTGTGGACCAGGACTTTAGTATTAAGGATGTAGGACACATTTAGTCATTGGAGGTAAAACCGTATAAATGTTCTTAAAAATTCCTGTTCCTTTTCATTTTATTAAAGATTCCACATAAATGTATACTTTGTAATCAGATTATGATATTCAAATCAGTTTTCTGTTCAGCTATTCCATTTTTTGGAATCTAGTGGCAGAAATTTCTAATGACCATTTTGAAATAATGAAATGCACTTCTGGATCAGCTTTTATAAACTAAATCCAAATGCTGAGTGATTTATTAGAAAATTGATTTGCAACTATTTCTAATCATGAATTGTATTAAACTCTTATGATCTTTTCCTTTCATAATATATAATAGGAGAAAACAGTAAAAATAGAAGATGGACCCTGGCCTGGTTGCTCAGTTGGTTGGAGCATTGTCCTGAGGGTTCGATTCTAAGTCAGGACACATACGTTGTGGGTTTGATCTTAAGTCAGGCATGTATAGTAGGCAACTGATCGCTGTTTCTCCCTCACATCAGTGTTTGTTTCTCTCTCTCTCTCCTTCCCATTCTCCCTCACTCCCTCTCTCTATCCCTCTCCCTCCCTACTCTCCTTTCTCTCCAAAAACACACGCAATACAAACCAATGAATATATCCTCTGGTGAAGATCTTAATAAAAAAGAAATAGAAGATGGGATTACTTAATCTGCTCGATCTTTTGAAATAGGAGAGAGAATGATTGTCCTCTCTGTTACTTATAGGAGAAAATAGGCACAGAGAACCATAAAGAACTAAAATTACCAGATTTCCTGATCATGTTTTTTTCCCCTAATTTTTAAAAGCCTACGTAATTCGAGTTGGCCTTAGTGCCTATTTAGAAAAGGATGTAATTAATGAAATACATTGCCTGGAATGCATGCAGAGTTAAAGCTTATGATTATTTTTAAACATGTGAAGTATTTCAAACGTGTGTTTCAGTCTCAGAAAACTAGAAAATCACCATATTATGCCAACTGTATTCTTTTGAGCTCTTATACTTTATAAATATGATACTTTATAAATATATGTTTACCCAGGTTATTCTTTAAATATTTTTATATATTTAGAAGGATTTCCAGTCTCAAAAATTTGAAAATTGCTATCTTATACAACCTGTTTTTAAGAGTTCTTATGCTTTGTAAACATAGCCATGTCTACTCAGGTTCTTCTTTGAATGATGGCTTTTACATACATAAAAATACAAAAAATGTCTTGCTGGTGTGAAATTTCAATCTTGGATTGTAATTCTTAGTTCATCTTTTTGCTATAGGAATTTTAGCCAATAAAAGACCAGACCTGTTGGAATAGCAGGATCTTTTCAGAAGTTGAGTTTTAAATATATTTTAAAACATTTTCACATTATTTCCTTAGGATTCTTCTGTTATCCTTACATTTATTTAGAAGGAAGGTAAGAAATATTGACAGAAGAGAGACCAGAAGAATGAAACACAGGCATTCTTTTTACTAATAGTAGATATTTCTATAATACTAAAGATAGATTAGGAAACAGTTGAGGGTATAAGTAGTAAAAAGGAATTCTACAATCCTATTCCATTTCCCCCACACTCCCATCTAATTGATCTTCAAAGATCTTTTTTATGTTTCCTGAATGTTTCATTGCCAATTCCTTATTTCTGATCCTCAGAACATACCATGCTCTCTTACCTGGGTTCTGGTACCCTTTCTGAAAAATGCCTATTCTTTCTCTTAAATAACTAATGTTCATCTTTTTAGAGACTACAATGTTCATTTTAGGTTCATCTTCCTTTCCTCTTCACAGCCTCCAGTGACCAAAACTGGGTTAGAATCCCCTTCTGTTTACAAAGCTCTTATGCATATGTCCATCATCCTATTATTTACTTTCATCTACTAGTATTACAGTTGTGTATTTTTCTATGAATTTCATTAGATCATACTTCTAAAAGTAGGAACTTAAGGAACTCAATGAAAAATTGGTAGTGAAAAATAATAATAATAAATAAGGTACCAGATAACATCTCCTGTCAGAAGCTGTAAGTATAAATGCAACTTTGTTAATTTTTTATAGTGTTGGGAATTTAGAAACAACGAAATTTTTTTAATGAATATTTTTTAAGTCTATTTAACTTCAATAGAAGACAGTTACAGTACTGCTATCTCAAAAGCTATTTGGACATCCTTCATATTTAAAAAAAAATTTTTTTTGCTTTTTGAAAAACACCTAAGTTTTCAGTGTGAAACCTTAGTTCATTTAAGTGTAGATATGCCTGAAGAGATGAATAAGTATGTTTAATGACCATTGTTTATCGTCTACATTAGTTAGGCTTTATGATTTCTCAGCATTATCTAAAATCTGCATTTGATGGAAGGAGACTTGACTTGGGATGGTGAACACATAATACAGTCTACAGAATGTGTTGTGGAATTATGTAGCTGAAACCTATATATTTTTTAAAAAATATATATTTTTATTGATTTCAGAGAGGAAGGAAGAGGGAGAGAGAGTTAGAATCATTCATCTGCTGCCTCTTGCACACCCCTTACTGGAAATCGAGCCTGCAATCTGGGCATGTGCCCTGCCTGGAAATCAAACCACGACCTGCTGGTTCATAAGTCAATGCTCAACCACTGACCCACGCCAGCCAGGCCTATATTATGTTAATCAATGTCAGCCCAACACATTCAACAAAAATAATTTGACAAGAGAGTTCTCATTTTTACATTGAATGGCAGTAAAATACAACAGAAAAAAAAATGTTGCTTAAGATAAGGAGCAGAGTTTGGCCAACTTTGACATTACTTTTAGACCTTGCCACACTAAATTGACAAATAGATACTAGCTATCTGAATTATAAGTAAATTCTGTGTCTTGTAGCTTTTCATCAGCAAAAGAAGAAGTTTACAACTTAGTACCTCACGGGGAAAAAAGTGTTGATGTCCTAGTAATTTACCTCAAAGTTTCCTTTAGTTAAAGCTGATTTCCTCTTAAGGAAGTACTCACATTTCTGATTTAATTGTTGTTGTGTTGTTGTTGTTTTGTGGGGTGGGAGGCAGGTAAAAGAGCTTATACTGCTCAGTTTCCACACTATAAATTATAAGATACTCAAAATGCTAAGTCAGTATATTTGCCTAAAGACAGAAAAAAAATGTTTTTAAAGAAAAATGATCATCTTTCCTTCTTGTCATGGACTCATCAGCATGGTGACTGAGGACTCAGGGTAGTGAAGGTGGTTGGGGGATCACACTGCATGAGGCTAGCAGCCAGAGATAAGTGATGAGTGGGGAACACAGAGAGAGTGAGCAGAAATCTTTCAAATTTTGGTTATATTAAGCAAATAAGTGAGTGGATTGAGGAAATAAGTAAATATATTGAGGGTAATGGCAGCTAATATTTTTGCTAAAGATAGAGTCCTAAGGTGCAATAGATTGGAATTAAGAATATAAGTATGAACTCAAGACTTATACACATATACACAGAGATCTGGAAATAGTTATAGATGTTTATACACACACACACACACACACACACATATGTAAATGAGTGTGTGTGTGTTTGTGTGTTACACCACAAAAGCAGTAAGCCCAATGTTATTCCATATCTTGGTTTCTAAATTCCAAGCAAAGTGAAGAAAAGTACAAATTGTACTCAGAACATCTTTTGCCAGAGACATGCTGAGGATGTGTCAAAAGGACTGGGATCCAGCTTAAAAGGGCTCTCTCTGGGCAAATCAACCAATTTGAAACTCAAACTAAATAATTATAGTAATGAATCAGAACACATTGAATTAAGTAGGAATATGTGAGTCTATGATGATATCAACAAGTAAATGATAAAAGTTTGTCAGAACATAAATTAATAACTGTCTATGATAGCCAGTCAGCCTTAGGGACTGATCTGAAGTAAGTTTTGTTTTATCTGTGGAAAAGGTTGAAAAGAGGAAAGGGATTTTGTGTAATTGAGTATGAGAGAGAAAGAGGTGTTGAGGGTATATGCAAGGAAATGTTTATGATGATTGACCCTGGGATTTAAGCTGGATAAGAAGGAATTGAGGGGTAAAAGGGTAGGGATAATGGTAATGTAAGATTGATAGGACAGAGAAAAATTGTAAGAGCAAAGGCTTATAGGATCTTTAGGGTTTGTGAGAGTATTTGTATCTGTGCAAGAAGAAGTAAGCTATAAGGAAGATCACCTAGGTGGATGTTAAAATCACGAACAATTAAGATAGGAGTAATGGTGATGATGGTTATAGTGAACCAGGGGCTAAACTCTTCAAAGGCTGAGGGAGAATGACCTAAGGACTCACTGACGACTGCATGTGGGTGGGGGGATGATGACAAGAAACTCAAAGCGTGGGAACAAGGAGAACCATTCCGCTAACTAGCAGGCCTAGTTGTGGGCTGTACTTATACTTTCTTAGCAGAGATTAGTTTGTCTTTTCTGTAACTCATTAGCCACCTAATATAAATTCTGAATCCTTCTTTAAAAGAAGTAGTAAAATAAAAGAGCAAAATGTGTTAAAAAATTTTATTTTATAAATAGTTGGTGCTTCTGTGATGTTTTGTTAATTAAAAAAACTGACTTTAACCTATCACTTTAAGATACTCTTTAGTTTTGTATTCAACATCATACCCAACTGAACTATACCTCAAGAAAATTTTTTTAACCTTAAAATTTTTGATATTTTAAAAAGAAAGCTGTTATAGGTCTACTTTTTTATTTTAATTTTTATTTTTTTAATATATTTTTTAATTATAGATGTTTATACATTTTACAGAGAGGAAGGGAGAGGAAAAGAGAGATAGAAACATCAATGATGAGAGAGAATCATTGATTGACTGCCTTCTGCATGCCCCCTACTGAGGATGAAGCCTGCAACCCAGGCATGTGCCCTTGACTGGAATCAAACCTGGGACCCTTCAGTTTGCAGGCCGATGCTCTATCCACTGAGCAAAACCAGCTAGGGCAGGTCTACTTAAAAAAAAAATGTTTTGCCCTGCATATCCCACACTGGAGATCAATCTGGCAATCCAGGCATGTGCCCTAATCAGGAGTTGAACCGTTACCTACTGGTTTGTAGGTGAGTGCTCAACCACTGAGCCACACCAGCCAGGCTAGACTGTCTACTTTATAGTGTATATTTTATTGTTTATTTTGTGTTGGTACACATACAAGAGACTTATTTTTTTTGTGTATTTACTGGGAGTGTAATAAACTATTGGCCTGATAACGATATTAATGTTTAATTGTCTCCTTTCTTCTAGATTACATACCGGTTACGGCATCTCCTTCGAGCAAGGTGTGATGCTTCCCCAGTGACCAACAATATCATCCAGTTTCACTGTGATCCTGGTTTCTGGGCTCAAAATATTATCAATTTAGGTAGGTCATTATGTATATTTTCCCAAGTACCATTTGTTTCTGAAACTCTTAATGATTATTATGTTACTGAAAATGTATTCCTTATACCCTCAAAATGTTTTTGTTACCTTGGTTTAAAACCATGGAATTTTTGTTAGTATTTTATTAATCTGTGTATATATGTCACACATGCATGTATGTTAACATACATATAAGTATATGGATGTTATGAAACATCCTCTGTTGACTCGGAATTAAGGAGTTCTATTTTTCATAGACTCTTGCTTGAACTTTTTATCAGAATGGGTTGATAAAACTCTTGACTTGTGACTGGCATTGTTATAGAATTTTTTGATACTTAGAATGTTTTCTGATACAATAGTATTTCCAGTACTATTATTGGCTTTCTCTTTAGACTCAGTCATCAAATGCCTAATGTTACTACTCATTTGCTTTCTCTTGGCTAGGGAAAACATTGCTTTTTCTTTTGCCTTTTTGTAATAATTATACATATAATTTTATATAATAAATATAATTATATATATTTAAGTTTCTAATTGAAGTGTTATGTGCATACAGAAGAGTGCCCCAGTTTTAAATATTGGTGTCCACTGAATTATCACAAAGGAAGACTATCATCTTGGTAACATTAAGAGTTCAAACATCCTTGCAGGCAGTTCAGTAGGAAGTTATTTTAACTTTCTTGTTATATTATTTGCTAGGAGAAAAAGTCCTCACTTTTTGCCTACTCTCTTAATTTCTCACAGGGAAATTATATAAACAGAAACTTAAGAATTCCTTACACATTCTTCATTAACTAATATTCCCTTTGATGATATCATTGGGCTTATTAACTTTGTTTCAAAATCATCAGAAATGATTGAGCTCTCATTCTGTAGACTAGATTCTGCGTAAGAAAGGAAAAAATGGCATGATAGAGAGCCAGTACTCTCAGAATACACCAGGAACGGAAGAAATCGACTTACACAAAGCATTTTTACAAGGGAAGAACAAAAAGAATAATGATAGGGTGTCCCCTTAAAGAAAAAATAATAAGATGACCCCTGCAGTTCAGTTTAGAAGTACATAAAGCTATATGTTTATTGATAAATAGCAAGCAACTGGAACTACACACAAACACACACCTATATGTGTTACTATATGTATCCTATATAATAAATGCCTAATATGCTAAGTGTCCGGTCATCCGTTCAACCAATCAAAGCGTAATATGCTAATGATATGCTAAGGCCGCTCAACTGCTCGCTATGATGTGTACTGACACCAGGGAGCAGACAGTCGACCGGTCAACCAGTCGCTATAACGTGCACTGACCACCAGAGGGCAGACACTCCCGACTGGTAGGTTAGCTTGCTGTTGGGATCCAGCCAGTCAGGACTGAATCAGACAGGCCAAACACACCCTGGAGCCCTCCCACAGTCCCTCCCCGGCTGGCCAACCTCCTGCGTCCCTCCCTGGCCCCAATCATGCACAGGTGGGGTACCTCGACCTGGCCTGGGCCCTCTCGCAATCCCTCGGGGGATGTTGGAGAGCCCGTTTCAGCTGGATCCTGCTTGACGCTGGAGCTGCCCCTGGTGGTCAGTGTGCTCCCATGGGGAGCGCCGCTCAGCCAGAAGCCGGGCTCATAGCTGACGAGCACACTTGTGGTGACGGGAGCCTCTCCTGCCTCTGCGGCAGCACTGAGGATGTCCGACTGATGGTTTAGGCTTGCTTCCCACAGGGCCATCAGTCAGACATCCCCTGAGGGCTCCCAGACTGCGAGAGGGTGCAGGCTGAGCTGAGGGCCCCCTACCCCCCCAGTGCATGAATTTTGTGCACCTGGCCTCTAGTAATTAATACAAAGCATGCGTCTAAGTAACTATCTCTTAACCCTTATCCCTCTCTACCAACCCACATTCAACTGTACAGAGAACCTATCACAGTTATGTATCCACACAAGTAGTCATATCTATAGAGATGTATGTATTTATATACACTGAGTGGCCAGATTTTTATCACCACCCCATCAGTAGTACTTCATTGACACTTCCAAAAATACTGAATATTGAAAACTTCCTAAGCAAATACTCTGAAGGTTTTATCATTATCATTATTATTATTATTATTATTATTATTTGCATAACTAATTCACTTCATTGTACTGATGGGGTGGTCATAATAAACTGGCCGGTCATAATAATCTGGCCACTCAGTGTATATCATTTATAATACAAATATAGGCATAGGTAAAGGTAAGAATATATGTATAATTGCACACACAAAAATGGATATAGTTTTAGGTAAGTCTGCATCAGCAAAAATCAAATAAAGACAGCATCTCCTGTTTGTGAAGAGTTTGTGAAACTCTGATATAATAAAGTTAAATAATATTCTTTACTGTAGAACTTCTCAGAGCTGTCATTTATAGCTCTGTAAATTGTCGTTTACAATGAAATTTACATTTTAATTCTTCCAAAGAGACAAATTTTCCAAATTTGTTATCCATGGCTTCTGAGAAACATCTTTCATAGGGCAAGGGGAAAATATTGATCTAGATAAATATTCAGTTAATGTTTTGGGGATTTGGGTAAGTTCTTCAATGTCTCTGAACCATAGATCCCTTATCTGTAAAGAGGAATTTAACAATATACATAGACCTGCTGTCACAGTGCTTAACAACCAGTAAGTAATGAATTATAGCCATATTTTTTTAAGGATGCATATACTTTGTAAATCTAAAACATTTAATTAAATTTGTACTGTTAAAAAAATTAATCTTTGCCTTGTGCTTGGATCAGACCTATTAGATGCACCCTTAAACTCTCTTAAGGGTAATTGTAAGCCACTCAAAATATTCTCTATCAGGAAACTGACATAGTATGCACTGTGAAAGTGTAAGGAACTCGAGAGAGTACAAATTATTAATATTAAAGAATCTGAAATACTTTGTGGGAATGTTTTAGAACCAATGTCAGATTTGCTTGTTTTAATATACAACAGCAGTTCTCAAAATGTACAGTTTGAGGCTCCTTCAGGGAACCACAGAGGCTTCCCTTTTCCAACTACGTATCTGTGTGGCTGGATTTTCTTCCTGTATTTCAACCTAAACAGTATATTATGACAGATAATGCAGAAACAGATATGGGAGTTCAGCTATTAAGCCAGACATATAAAGATATTTTCAAAAATATAAAACATGCACTCTTCACTAAGATTTTTAAAAAAATATTATTTTTCATAAAGGTATGCTATTATGGGTTTATTATTTTTAAATGAATTAGTAAGTAAATTTTTTTAATTCTCATTTTTAGTGTCAAAGATAGTAAATTTTGATAGATAGAATCTCCATTAATAAAAGCTCTTTGGGGCAATCAATCTGTTTTTAAGAGTGTAAAGGTTTCCTGAGATTGAAAAGTTCCTTGACAGTTTGGAAGTTCAGCAACAATAACCTTACAAAATGTAGTATTTCACTATCAGAAAAACTTTAGAACTTAATCTTTTTTCTTTAATTAGGTTCTTTAGTAATTGAAGATAAAGAGAGTCAACCACAAATGCCTAAGCAGAATCCTGTCATGGAACAGAATTCACAGCCACAAGGTGGTTTATCTTCAAACCAGTTATCCAAGTTTCCAACACAGATCAGCCTAGCTCAGTTACGACTCCAGCATATGCAGCAACAGGTAATGGCTCAGAGACAACAGGTGCAACGGAGGCCAGCACCTATGGGTTTACCAAGCCCTAGAATGCAGGGGCCCATCCAGCAACCTTCCATCTCTCATCAGGTAAATTTGGAAGCAGGCCTGTCCTAACTTAGATAATTATAGTACAATTGTATTTAGCAACTCTGAAAATAACCAGGACACCCATCATCCATGATTTAAATATATAAATTTATAAAAATGTATTGCATTGAGGATTCCTGATTTAGCTCCTAGATTTTAGCTCTTCTCAAAAAAAAGAATCAATGGTTTATTTAACCGGTACATCTATTTTTATTACATTGTCTTAATATTATAGACAGTGTGGGGATGCAAGTGTTTAGAAAACCACATTGCATCTTAGAAACTAGGGCAAAATGAAATAGAAAGGGGCAGGGATGTGGTTCATTAGAAATATACCTTTTTCAAACTTTATTTCTGAGCAAATATTCCATGAACCATTGTTATTTTCACTAATTATGAACTATTATTTACTTTTAATCCAGTTTTTTAAGATAAAATAGTCATATATTTTGTTAAATGTTTTAACTGTTCTGCTCAGTTTAGATGTGGGCATACTTAGTTTTAATAAAGGTTTAGTAAAGACTATAAGGTCAAATTCATACAAATTGTCTGTTGTTTTCAGTTACATATATTTATGAATTTATATTCTTCCTATTTCGGAGAAGGATTTGAAGGACAGTAAATGACATGAATGAAATGGAATGAGGTTTAATAAGAGTCAAAGTGTGTAGAACTAGGCTAAGAATTCTCATACTTGTGAGCAAACCTTAGCTCAAAACGTATTGTCAACCCCCAAAAAAGAAATAGAAATATCTATATTGTGTGATAAAAAGGAAACATATTAGTTATTTAGAGGAGAAACATTTTACTAGCACTAAGAGGAAGATATTATGTGAGTGAGTCTTTATAAAACAACAATTAAATGGAATAATTGTATTTTTGTGGTAATTTTACTAGTACAGAATATAAAAATGGTGTTCATCTGATTCTTATTTTAACTCAATAAAAGTTGTGGGCATATGTAGATCCTAATATTGTTAAATTGCTTCTTTGAAGGCCTGAGGTGATGTACTTGAGGTTTATGGCTTTATAGTGATTTGATTAGGAAGGCATATCAAATCCAAGGGAATATTAGTATACCCAATTGATTATTCCTTTCAAACTTTGTTTTAACTCAGGTTTTTACAGGAAGTAAATAACAAGCAATTTAAGTTTTTATGGTGAGTGTTCTATTAGGAAAGAATTGTACGGTTTAGATATCAGGAGTGAAACTGGCAAAGTTGAAATTTTGTTAAGAAAATTGAGGAGTAATTTTGTTACTACCTCTGTAGACTGCAGTGACGTATTGCAGATAGACTGCAAAGAATGCCAAAACTTTTTCTGAAGACAAATGTGAGGAGGAGGAGAAGAGAGAAAAAATAATAACTTGTTGAGTGCCTTGTGCTAAGCATTTGCATAATTAATATTTATCTTAAGTGTCTGAGAGATGGTAAAGTGATTTTCATTAAGTAGTTTATTAACCTGAAAAAGAGTAAATTGGCTTTTCAGTAAGAAGTGAGGAACTGAAGCAGTTAATAGATATTATCTTACTTGGTCGCATTCCCATAAGTAGTTATTTATATAAGCAATGACAGACAGAAGTGAACACTGAACCTTTAGCTTGTGTATCTCAGAAATTTGCTTTTGATCTTATTTTTCCTCTCTAGGACTTACTGCAACATAATCTATATAATGTACAATCTCTGTTATACAACCCAGTTTTCTCACTTAGAAATAAAGTAATTTTTGCATCTTTCGGTCATTACCTCATACACTGTTCTTTCCTCTTGACTCTCAGTAACTCCTGAACCTTCTTTCACACTCTCATGTTTCATTTTTAGCTGCTCTCTGCAAAACATTCACTCATGCATTTTCCACTTACCAATTTGCACACACTACAGATTTTTACATTGCCATGCTTACCAATACTCTTCCTTTTCTATCAATTTATTTACATATATGTGTGGGAAAAATGATTGCCTGTGTGTATATGTGTTCCTGGCTTTGTGGATATGTTCAGATTGTACCGTACATCTGTCCATAGGGTTCAGGTAAATTTAAGAGTGCTTCTTAAAGTCACTTACATGATTGTTCTCTATTCTTCTTCCTCTGAAGATTAACCATGTACTCTGCATGGTTAAAGAATTTGGTGATACAGAGGTTGAATACATAGTTACATGATTGATTGATAGACATTGTGCATCTCTGTTTATTTAGCAGTATACAGCATATTCTATTACACTCTGATGTTCAGATCTAAGTTTGTTAGCACTGTCACGTGTTGTTTTTTTACATATATACTAGAGGCCTGGTGCACAGGATTTGTGCACTGGTTGGGATCATGGTCTGCGGGGATTGCCTGCTGTGCGAGTGCCACTCATCCCGGTCAGCCGACCCGGTCAGCCGAGCGGTTGTGGACCTGACCTCTGAGCAGCTGCTCCTGCTGTGGGAGCACCACTCATCCCAGTCAGCCAAGCGTCACTTCCACTGTGGGAGCGCACTGACCACCAGGGGGCAGCTCCTGTATTAAGTGTCTGCCCCCTGGTGGTCAGTGCACGTCATAGCGAATGACCGGTTGACCAGTCATTCTGGTAGTTCCACCAGTCAGTTGGTGGGCTTTTATTATACAGTATAGGATTTTTATTGATTTCAGAGAGGAAGGGAGACCGGGAGAAATATGGAAACATCAATGATGAGAGAGAATCATTGATTGGCTGCCTCCTGTATGCCCCCCACCAGGGACCAAGCTCACAACCTGCACATGTGCCCTGACGGGAACTGAACTGTGACCTCCTTGTTCATAGATTGACAGGTGCTGAACTACTGAGCCACTCCGACTGGGCACATATGTTATTCTATCTAATAATAGAGAAACATGGTAATTAGCCATAACTTCGCTACCCTTATATGGGCGGATCAGCGAGATATGCAAATTAACTGCCAAACAAGATGGCAGCCAGGCAGCTGAAGCGAACAGGAGGCTTGCTTGCTCCAGTGAAGGAGGAAGCCAAGGTTCCCCGCCTGCCGCTGCTGGCCTCTGAGCTTGCACTCTAAGAAACAATGTTGCAATTATAGAACCTAAACAAACCCCAGAAACCTACTTTCAGCCGTCAGAGCTGGAGCGAGCAGGACTGCAACAGTGTTACAATTATAGAACCCAAACAAACCCAGATCCCTGCTTTCAGCAGCCGAGGTCTCAGAGCTGGAGCCGAACCTCAGAGCTAAAGCCGGCTCTCAGCTCCAGTGACAGCAATAGAAGGTAAATAAATCCCAGAATAAAAAAAATAAAGAAAAAAAGGAGAGGTTGGGAGCTTCAGTCACCCACCAGCCTGAATACGGCCCTCAACTCCTCACTCAGACTGGCCAGGCCCCCTGTGGGGACCCCCACCCTGAAGGGGGTGTGACCAGCTGCAAATGGCCATCATCCCCTCATCCAGGCTGGCCAGGCACCCAAGCGGGACCCCCACCCTGATCCGGGACACCCTTCAGGGCAAACCAGCCGGCCCCCACCCGTGCACCAGGCCTCTATCCTATATAGTAAAAGGGTAATATGCCTCCTAGCACCGGGATCAGCTGAGCAGCGAGGCCTCACCGCCCCGGTGTCAGGTGGAGCCACGAGGTCTCCAAGCACTGGGATCAGCGGAGCCACGAGGCCTCCTG